AAAAGAACTGCAGAAGACTGCTCTCTGAATTTCTGAGGGTGTCTCGAGTCTTAGTCCAGACATTCAAGTCCAAAGACTGAACCCGCTCTGGGGGGCTATTCAAGTCCAAGGAATGAACAAGCTCTAGAAGGTTATTCAAGTCCAAAGACTGAACCCGCTCTGGGGGGCTATTCAAGTCCAAGGAATAAACCAGCTCTAGAAGGTTATTCGAGTCCAAAAAATGAACCCGCTCTGGGGGGATATCACCCTCACCCTGCGCTCGAACAGACCTTTACATAACTACTTATGAGTAAAGATCTAAATTATGCAGCGATATTCAACATTTCTAGTTAATTTAAAACCGTGTCAAAAATTAGTTTTATAATCTTGCGTAAAACCACATTCTTAGATCAAAATTAATTATTGACTCTTAAAAAAATATTCACGTTAGAAAACGGGTTTTTAATTTTTTTTAATACAATAAACCAATTAGGTCTTATTACTTATTATTTATTTATGTTTTACAACAAGTATGTGTTTGCAATCTGTTCTTATTACTAGAACTTAAGTAGATCTGATTAAAATCCACATGAGTTAAATACACTCCGCTAGCCACGTCACCAGCCACGTAGCCAGTGACTGACACGGTCACTAGCCACGTCACCAGCCACGTAGCCAGTGACTGACACGCTCACTAGCCACGTCACCAGCCACATAGCCAGTGACTGACATGGTCGCTAGCAACGTCACCAGCCACGTAGCCAGTGACTGACACGGTCGTTAGCAACGTCACCAGCCACGTAGCCAGTGACTGACACGGACGTTAGCAACGTCACCAGCCACGTAGCCAGTGACTGACACGGTCGTTAGCAACGTCACCAGCCACGTAGCCAGTAAATGACACGGTCGCTAGCCACGTCACTAGCCACGTAGCCAGTGACTGACACGGTCGCTAGCAACGTCACCAGCCACGTAGCCAGTGACTGACACGGTCGTTAGCCACGTCACCAGCCACGTAGCCAGTGACTGACACGGTCGCTAGCCAAGTCACCAGCCACGTAGCCAGTTACTGGCATGGTCGCTAGCAACGTCACCAGCCACGTAGCCAGTGACTGACACGGTCGCTAGCCACGTCACCAGCCACGTAGCCAGTGACTGACACGCTCACTAGCCACGTCAACAGCCACGTAGCCAGTGACTGACACGGTCGCTAGCCACGTCACCAGCCACGTAGCCAGTGACTGACACGGTCGCTAGCCACGTCACCAGCCACGTAGCCAGTGACTGACACGGTCGCTAGCCACGTCAACAGCCACGTAGCCAGTGACTGACACGCTCACTAGCCACGTCACCAGCCACGTAGCCAGTGACTAACATGGTCGCTGGCCACGCCAACAGCCACGTAGCCAGTGACTGACATCGTCGCTAGCAACGTCACCAGCCACGTAGCCAGTGACTGACATGGTCGCTGGCCACGCCAACAGCCACGTAGCCAGTGACTGACATGGTCGCTAGCAACGTCACCAGCCACGTAGCCAGTGACTGACACGGTCGTTAGCAACATCACCAGCCACGTATCCAGTGACTGACACGGTCGTAAGCAACGTCACCAGCCACGTAGCCAGTGAATGACACGGTCGCTAGCCACGTCACTAGCCACGTAGCCAGTGACTGACACGGTCGCTAGCAACGTCACCAGCCACGTAGCCAGTGACTGACACGGAAGTTAGCCACGTCACCAGCCACGTAGCCAGTGACTGACACGGTCGATAGCCAAGTTACCAGCCACGTAGCCAGTTACTGGCATGGTCGCTAGCAACGTCACCAGCCACGTAGCCAGTGTCTGACACGGTCGCTAGCCACGTCAACAGCCACGTAGCCAGTGACTGACACGCTCACTAGCCACGTCAACAGCCACGTAGCCAGTGACTGACACGGTCGCTAGCCACGTCACCAGCCACGTAGCCAGTGACTGACACGGTCGCTAGCCACGTCACCAGCCACGTAGCCAGTGACTGACACGCTCACTAGCCACGTCAACAGCCACGTAGCCAGTGACTGACACGGTCGCTAGCCACGTAGCCAGTGACTGACACGGACGCTAGCCACGTCACCAGCCACGTAGCCAGTGACTGACACGGACGCTAGCCACGTCACCAGCCACGTAGCCAGTGACTGACACGGACGCTAGCCACGGCATCAGCCACGTAGCCAGTGACTGACATGGTCGCTAGCCACGTCACCAGCCACGTAGCCAAAGACTGATGTTTGAGACCACTAAGGAACTGGGATTTATTATAAGTAAAGCAGAAAACAAAGACGTACGCTGACCCTGCACCGTTTTCTTTTTATTACGAAATGAAATAAAAATATAAAGTAAAATGTAATTAGTAACACCGTAAAAATGATTAGCACTGTAACACCGTTTAGCAATGTCTTTTTCTTCGATCATATGTTCCTTTCACATTACGTCAGAACTTACTATGTTTGTGGTCAAATTGTTTATCATATGTTAACATTATTCACTTACACAGCTGCTCAGGATTCACACAACTTGAATGTTTGATAAATAAGCATGTATTGTTGCAGATTCTTCAGAGCTTGGCTTTTGGAAAGATTTTTGAAAAGGAAGTAGTCAAAGGCCACGGTAAACCCAATAGTTATTAACCAATATTCTTTTATTACATGATTATTTTAAAAACTTAGGTTACAACCCGTAGTATGTATAATGTGTGCGTGCGTGTGTGTAAGTTTGGAGCAACTTCTCAGAACTTCTCAGAAAATTTTAAACTTTTGATATGGCAGAAATCGTCCGATGCAGCTAATACTTTAAATTGACCTGCCAATGACGTCAGTATTGTTTAGTTTTCTAGATCTAGAAGACATTTAAAGGACTGTTCATTGACAGTAATTTCAAGTTTTCCGAACACATCGACAAAATTGACAATCTATTTAGCTAAAAAAAGTAAAAATCGTACACGACCAAATCTATTTAACTAGGTAAACCAGGTTCTCTGGGTTGCCTTAACAATATGAGAGCTAGCACAGTTAAATAATCCCCCTTCATGACTGAGAGGGCTGTACAGGTTCAGAAGTCTGCTGCCAGAATCTGCGAAGCTGCGTATCATGCAGTCACTAGTCCTGTCGGTGTTAACATATTGTCTCCCTGCTTATGGAAACAGCATCTCTGGAGAAGACATGAACCGAATGCAGAAACTGCAAAATTCAGCTATTCGCTTCATATTTTGCCTCAGAAAGATTTGGACATATCTCTCCCTTCAGATCTGTAGCGGGGATGACAACAGTAGACACTGTTTGCAGGATTATGACTTGCTGTATGCTGCACACGGCTCTTGTACAGGAACCACAATACCTTTTTGAGAGGCTCTCTTTCCGGGAGGAGGTCTCTCAGCGCAGTACCTGCCATGGAGGTCTCCAGCTTCACTTTCCAAGAGTGAGGCTTGAGTTTGGAAGGAGAAGCTTCTCGTATTTCGGCCCAAAGCTGTAAAACGACCTCTCCTCTGGCCTAAAAAATACTCTTTGTCATCATTTAGAAAATAAAATCAAAGAATTGTACACTCATGGTTAATTATTGTTATTTATATTGTATTTTTCTGTTTTGTTATTAGTCTATTTATTTTTTTGTTAGTTTAATACATTGTTATTGACGAAATTTGTTCTGGGAAGCAGTAGTTGTACTGAGAAACGCTTGATAAATAAAGGAGTTTTTATTTATTTATTAATAATGCTTTCAGTAACTGTTTTTAATAAAGCCAAATATTTTTGTTACAGTTCGTTTATTTTCGCGACCAAATATCGAATTTTATGGTTTGTTGCAACCCTTTACGATGAAACCAGAGGATAATATGAACGATGATTTAATGCGTAGACAAATGTCATTCAGAAACAATAATTTGTTTTTTAAATGCGTAAAAGATGACAACAAAGCTACGGTGTTTGTATACGCACCAGAAGGATACTTGATAGATAGATTGAAGATTGAGAGCAAAGATGATTGCGACAAATTCAAGGATCGCATAAATATATTTGGACAGCTGGTAAGGGTTAGGGAAGAAAACGGATATGAGCAGTTAGAATACACCATAATGTACCCGTTGGTTGGGGAAGAACATCGTTGTCTCACCAGACTCTACAAGCTTATCACATTTCAGTACTACACCAAATTACGGAGAGGGGATCCACAACTGATGGATTGCAAAGAGAAAACTGTGATTGTAAGTAAATTATACGTCATATTTATCTATCTATACTATTATAAAATTGAGATGGTGTCTATCTGTCTTGGCAACTGTCACGACTAAAATACTAAACCGATACAGCTATATAAAATGAAGCAGAAAGATGGTCCACATATCTAGGAATGTCATAGGCCTAATCACATCCCGTAGTTCTACGCCCCTTTGATGTCCAAATTTTTGAGGCGAGGTTTCCAAAATCAAATATTAATTGATCTCCATGGAAACATTAGAAAAATCACAATGTTTGTCTTTGCGTTGACATTTCTATGTTGTTGGTCCCTGGATTACTATAAATGACTATAATGTTATGGTATAATTACTATAAAATTTGGATTACTTGACAAGCTAATTATACAATAATATAGTCATAATTCCAGAAAGCTGATAAAAAAAATTACATGTATATTTTACACAACTATGTGGTAGGTTTATTTATTAAAAGCTTTGTCATAGATTATTAAAAAAAAAAATAATACATTGATTATGGAAATAAAAAAGATTCTATAACCGTTGCTCTATCAACTCAGGCTCTGCTTTAGATTTATTTGAGTAATTTAGTTATGAAAATAATGTTATTGATATATTTTCATGTATACAGTAGGACAATTTGTTCTATTTCTTATTTCAATAAAAATTAAAAGGTCAAAAGAAACTAAACTGTTTTAATGAAGACACTAATACAAGACAATATTATTAAAGAAAAGTAAATAAAATCATATGGTTAAATATTAATTCAATAACCATAGAGGTTAAACATCTTTCCCTTTGAGTTTCTTTTCAGAGTTTAGTCAGGAAAACGTTTCGTAGGTCTTATAATTCTGCCTCTTGATGATTGTTTTATTGCAGCTTCTTGATTGGGAGTAGTTGATCGTGAAAAAGGTTTACTTTTATCTTGAGTTATTCTAGATGGTGTAGTAGTTGTTCTTTCAGCAGTATTTGATAGGGAAGAGTTGTTTTGAGTAACAGTAGTAAATGGCAGAGGATCTGACGTTGTATCTTTGATGGATAAAGGAATAGGATTGTTCGGTTTGGTTGTATTACCTTTGTAAGGCAAAAGGTGGTGTCGATTCCTTCTCAACGTAGTGTTTCCTGTCTTAACCCAGTATGACCTTGGCTCTTGTCCTAAGCTGATAATAATACCCTCTCTTTTTAGGTCTTGGATCCATACTTTTTTACCTACAGGCAGCGATGGAAGTTCTTTTGTAGCGTAGCGCCTATCGTAGTTTCTCTTGTAAGATGCTTTGTAAGTATCTTCTTTTTCCTTTAGTTGAGAGAGATCGGGTTTGATTTCAAGTTTTTTAGGTAAAACAGGCAGGTTATCTCGCAGTGATCTGTTGTATATTAGCTGAGCAGGACTGTATCCACTTGTGGATAGAGGTGTATTGCGGTAGGTTAGGAGGGCTAAATATGGGTCGTCTTTGTTTTTCTTTAGTACACTCTTCGCTATTTTGACTGCAGCTTCAGCTGCACCGTTACTTTGGTGGTAGCTTGGACTGCTCGTCACAAGTTTAAAGTTATAGCTTTGAGCAAACTTTTTGAATTCAGAGTTTTCAAGACCAGTGTATCTGGTAGCAAACTGTGTACCACAATCAGATCGTAGCTCAATTGGTATACCGTGACGGCAGAATACAGATTTGCATTTTTCGATTATTTCAGCAGTTGACAGGTTCTTTAATGTAGCTATTTCAAAATAACGTGAAAAACAGTCAGTGATTACTACGAACCATGTTCCTTCAAGTTTAAAGAGATCAATCGCTGCCTTTTCCCAAGGACGAGATGGAAGCTCACTGGGCAAAAGGGGTTCATGATGTTGTGTTCTATGTTCAGTACATTTGGGACAATCATTAACAAATTTCTCAATGTCAAGTGACATTCCTGGCCACCACATACTATTGTTGGCTCTAAGTCGACATTTCGTTATGCCTAGATGGCCTGTATGTATTCTTGTCAACATTTCTTGTCTAAGAGTTGTCGGGATTATGAGACGTTCTCCTCTAAGCAATAGTCCGTCACAAAAAGAGATTTCATCCCGAACTGTGAAGTATGGCTTAAGATTATTGGGAATCTTAGTTTTATCAGGCCATTCAGTTGAGCAGTAAGATTTAATTACCCTGAGTTCTGAGCTAGCCCGCTGTGCCGATGCAATTCTATCAAGAACCATGTCAGTTACATAGGCAATGTTTCTTGTTACTGTGTGGATGGCCAGTTCAACTTCCTCATCTAAATCATAACTCTCATTAGCTGCTACAGGACTTCTTGAGAGACAATCAGCAGTGGCTAAATGTTTGCCAGGAGTGTATGTCACATTGTAGGAATATCTCATCAGACGAAGTCTTAGTCTTTGAAGACGGGGAGTCATATCATTGATCTCTTTAATAGTCAAAATACTTACCAAAGGTTTGTGATCTGTTTCTAGCGTGATGTGCTTGCCCACAATGTAGTCTTTAAACTTGTCACAGCTCCATGTTAATGATAGAGCTTCTCGTTCAATGTTAGAGTAGTTTCGTTCGGTTTCGCTCAGAGTGCGTGAAATATAAGAAATAGGCTTCCAATTCCCATCTGATTGTTGTTGTAAAAGTACTCCACCCAGGCCTTGTGTAGAAGAGTCAGCAGAAATCATGGTCGGTTTATTTTTATCATAGAATGCAAGTTGAGGTGGAGAAGCCAATAATTCTTTCAATTCATCGAATGCTTTTTGTTGTTCACAACCCCAACACCATTCGTTTTTTCTACTTAGTAGGTCGGTAATGGGTTTTAGTAACCGGCTTTTGTTAGGTATGTATTTGCCAATGAAGTTCACCATACCAAGTAACCTTTGAACTCCTAAAATATCTGTTGGAGGAGCCATTTTTCGTATAGCTTCGACTTTGGTCTCATCGACTTTGATTCCTGATTCAGATAAATGGTGACCTAAGTAGGTTAGCGAGGTTTGAGAGAACAAGCATTTGTCTTTGTTTAGGGTGAAGCCAGCACCTTCAAGTTTGGTAAGTACTTCTTCTAAGAAATAGTCATGTTCTTGTTGAGTTTTCCCCCAAACAATTATGTCGTCCATATGCGCAAGTGCATTCATTTGACCTTTAAGGGTTCGATTCACGCATTCTTGGAACACTTCTGGTGCAGATGTTATTCCAAAGGGTAGTTTCAGAAATTTAAAACGTCCAAACGGTGTCAGGAACGTTGTCAAATCTTGGGATTCTTCGTCCAATGTGATCTGCCAGAATCCGTTATTAGCATCCAATTTAGAATAGCATTTTGCTTCTGAGATTTGGGCAAGTGTTATGTCGATGGGTTGAATAGGATAGTATCTTCGTTTGACGCATCTGTTTAATTTAGTAAGATCTACACAAATGCGAACTTTGTTAGAGTCCTTCTTTGGCACAACAACCATTGGAGAGCACCAGTCTGTGGCATGGTGTACCTCAGCGATCACCCCCATTGACACCATTCTTTCAAGCTCTTCTTTAGTAGATTCCCAAAGAGGAAGAGGAATCCGACGAGGCGTGTTGATTGCAAATGGATTGGCGTTATTTTTCAGTTCTACTTTGTATTTGACATCAATGGAACCTAAGCCTTCAAACAGTTTGGGGTGTCTGTCATACCAGTCATTACTGGATGGCTGTATTTCGTTGATTCGAGCAAGTAACTGCAAACTTGTTATTGCAGGTTTACCTAGAAGTGGCTGGGAAGTGCCCTTAGAAACATATATAGTCTCATAACATGTTTTGTGATTATGTGATAATTTTACAGTAGCAGTTCCTAAAATTGACAGAGCTTGACCATTTGCGCCACTAAATGTTTTGGATGTGGGAGTGAGCCTGATTTTCTTATTCAGTTTAATGTCGGAAGGCAAAATCGTTACGTCTGCTCCTGTATCAATTTTGAAAGGAACATCATCACTGTCATTCATATTTAACACTACAGACCATGGATCATCACGCAAGTTTTTTCCTACAATGCCAATGAATGTTTGAGGGTCTATGTACTGAGAGCAAACATTTTCAATGGGTGTTTCAAGGTCAGTATCATCATATTCAATTTGACTGACTTTGTTTGATTTGCAAACATTTGGAAAATGACCAACTTTTTTACAAAACCCACATTTGTATTGTTTAGCTGGACAGTTTAATCTTTTGTGTAAAACTGTCGAACCACACCAAAAACATCTCTTTTCGACATGGGACAGGCTTTTATTGTCATTAATCCGCTTAAAATTTTGATCATTGTTTGATTTATTGGGAATAATGTTTGTCTTAATTAAATGTTGAGTATTTTTATTTATTAATGCTATGTCAGTCAAGTTAAGAGTTTGTTTCTGTCTTGATAGTTCTTCAGATCTACGGATAGTGTTTATAGCTGTGTTTAGTTTTAATTCGGGTTCAAGTTGAAGACGATCACTTAGTGTTTCGTCCCGCATACCAATAATCAAAACCATCAGAATCATCTCCTCTTCAATTTGACCCCAATCACAGTTTTTTGCATGATTGTGAAGGTCTGTGATAAAGTTCTCAATCGGCATGGAACCTTGTGTAAGTTTTAGAAACCTAGCCCGTTCAAAAATTAAGTTCTTTTTAGGAAGGAAATGATCGTCAAACTTCTGTATAACAGCTTTGAAATTAGATTTGTCATTGTCATTTAAACTGAATGAATTAAGTATGTCCTCTCCCTTTTCCCCCATACAGTAGATAAGCATGTCAATCTGATGCTTTCCAGAATGTAGAGCTAAATTACTAAGGGAATAATACCTCTCAAAACGAGTCTTCCATGTCTTCCAGTCGTGAGGATTGAAGGAAAAGGCTTCAGGAGGCTTAATGTTTAGGGATACGGGTTCTTCATTCGACTGCGCCATGTTCTATTTCTTATTTCAATAAAAATTAAAAGGTCAAAAGAAACTAAACTGTTTTAATGAAGACACTAATACAAGACAATATTATTAAAGAAAAGTAAATAAAATCATATGGTTAAATATTAATTCAATAACCATAGAGGTTAAACACAATTTCAATGCGTTATATGTGAAGGTATGTTTTGTATTAGTTTGATGGCTTTTTTATAAGCTCGAACTGCTTAACATGCGTTGGACTAAAAGTAAATTACACTTCACGTTTAGGTAACTTAGACTTTTCACATTTGTAAATTAATTAATATGTACTAAAAAGTAAATTGAAGAAAGTTTTCTATATTATTTAATAAAAAATAAATCCTTATTGGCACTACTACGTATACGAGCTGAATTAATAATTTAAACTTTTTATAGTATAGATATAGTTTTTAAATATTTAAAACACTATTGACTATTGTGGCACAACAATATTTCTAAAGTTTATAACAGCTGATGTTAGTGTTATTAGTTAGTTATTTATTGTGAGTGGGAATTGAAGAATATGTTGGTTAATTTGAAGAAGATTGATCCAAAACATTGTTAATTTATATTAAATAGTTAGTAGTTTTGAAACTTGAAGATTGTAATTTTAATGTAACGTATGTAATTGCATTCTATTATTTTGTGTTTTTGTGAACTTCTATTCGGGAAGTAGCTATTTCCGTAGGTCGCACGGTAATACCTAGGCCCGGGACCGATTTACTTTTTAATTTTTATGTCCCCAGAGGCCAAAAAACGCGATTCGTTCAAATTTTTTAAAATTTATATATTAGTTTATAGTATTGTACCAATCTTAGGTCTTTTTGGATACTAATAGAAAATACGTATAAAATCTCTGTTTACCCCCAAATAGGTAATGGTATAACATAATTATAAAAATGTTAATTATTTCTTCAAATTTGCTAAAGATATGTATAATTACATCTATAATTCGATGAATATGCTAAAATATTTATAAAATTGTCTACAAAACAAAATGTTAAGTTCTAATTTTTTAAATATTTTATTCAAATTTCAGAATTTTATTCAGAAAATTTTAGTGTTATTTCATGTTTTAAATGCCCATATTTGTTAACAAATAATTTAAAATAGATAATTTTCAGGGGACTGCTGATATTAAATATGAAAGTAAGTATTTACAAATATAATTAAAATACTTGTTATTAAACTATGTTTATATTGTCTACAGTTTAACTGTTGATGGAATATCAATGAGTTATTTTGTGCTTTATAATTACTGTATTTAATTTAGTTTTTCATGAAAGTAAATAAAAATACGACTAATAGCTTTTGAAATATATTTACACTTATACTATTGATTGAGACGGTAAATATATGTATAAAGAATACGTTGTTGGAGAAAAGACAAACCTGAAAGATCAAATGTCGCACAACACTTGATACAAAATAGTGGACAATGTATTTTAAGAATTGTAGAAAAATATATGTGATGAATGCTTAGGAAGAATTGTATATCTACAAGGAAAAATAGAACTACGTCAGTTAAAAATAAGTTAATATTGACTTCAGTTGTACTTATAGAATCGTCTTGTCCAGGAATTCCTGTAGCCAACGGGATATAAGTAATGACAATATCGAGACTCTTGTCGTTCGCATATTGGGTCTAATGATGATGATAGTGTCCAATCGAAATCGAACACTACTTAGCATCTTTTGTATGTATATACCTCCTGTGATTAAATAGTATAAGTGTATATATATTTAAAGTGTTTAAGACGCATTTTGATCTACTTTCAGTAAATTTTAAAACTTTAAAATTTAAAAATGTTATTTACAATTATTAATTAAAATGTGTATTTAAAATTACTCCTACAATGTTGATCAAGAATAATTAATCTTTCCAATAAACTTACTGTGTGTTTTGTAGAAGAAGAAATGTTACCATGGGGAGAGTTCGAAATCATGGATTTGATCAAAGATGCTGATTTTGTCGATAAACCTTCCATTATCACTTTAAACGCTGACTCAAACATCAAGCTCAAGTGCCAACAATACACCAAGAAAGAAAAGGGAAGAAACGCATCGATACAACCTACCTCCATTGCAATTGGATATATAACTTATAAGAATTTAATCTTAGAAAAATTAATTCTAGACTCTTGTCTGGATAAAGTTGAAGGGGTGTACATCAACCGCCTACAGGAAACGTCAGACAAAATGAATGAAGAAGAATTTGAACTTGTCTTCAAAACCACAAAAGGATCATGTTTTAAAATATCCATTAGTTATCATTTTCGTCGACCTCGCAAAGACACAGTTTTCATTTTCCGATACAACCATCAAAAAGTCAATTGTCCAGATGTTTGGAACAGTGATGCAGCCTTCAACGTAAAACCAACATGGAGTATAACTAAGTGGTTTCACTCACTGGCTGACTCTGGCTGGTGGTGACTAGTTTGTACCCATTCATTTCCCTCTGATTCATCTGAATTAAACGTCTTCTTGACTTATTGGTTTATTCATAACCCTAGAACCATAAATGGGTAATTCCTGGTGACAACGAGTTGGAGTTTTAGCAACTATTTACATTATTTACCTTGCAACTACACTACCAATCAACTGGTTATTTATTTTAACCAACCCATAGGTAATAATGAAGTAAATTTTGCTATTTTACTGGCCAACTATTATATTATCAAAGTGGTAATAATGGAGGAATGGAAAATGACCCTTAATTTTGATTTTGAGATTAAAAAAAATTGAATCTTAACAATTTCTCCAACACTAATATTTTAAATGGTTTTAATATAATACTCTTTACTGAAGTTTTCTTTACTGAAGATTACTAATGCTTGCTATAATTGCTGCAGCTATTTAGCATTTGTGATAGAAATTCAGCATTTCAAAGATCACATGTATAATAATATTTCATGCATATTTATTTAGCCATAATCATCAGCACAAACTGACTAAACAATATGCGAGAACCTATTGGCCGTTAGACTTGAGATATTCAATTAGAGGGTGTAGAATGTGTATTGGAGAGGGTTGTACAATTCCAGTGCATTAGTAGCAGCTATCAAGTGTCAAGTGGTGTAATGTACAAGCAGCCTAATTCCTGAGTTGCATGACTGTTCAGTTCTGTGGTTAATCACATCAACATTACTGGTCCATTACAAACAGAACAGGTAAGCTTGTAGCACAAGGTGATCATAGTTCACCGTTCACCATTCACCGATCACCATTCACGATCATCATTCATCGTTCACCATCCATCGTTCACCATTCATCGTTCACCATCCATCGTTCACCATTCATCGTTCACCGTCCATCGTTCACCATTCATCGTTCACCGTCCATCGTTCACCATTCACCGATCACCATTCACCGATCACCATTTACGATCATCATTCATCGTTCACCATCCATCGTTCACCGTTCATCGTTCACCATCCATCGTTCACCATTCATCGTTCACCGTCCATCGTTCACCATTCATCGTTCACCGTCCATCGTTCACCATTCATCTTTCACCGTCCATCGTTCACCATTCACCGATCACCGTCCATCGTTCACCATTCATCGTTCACCGTCCATCGTTCACCATTCATCGTTCACCGTCCATTGTTCACCATTCATCGTTCACCGTCCATCGTTCACCATTCATCGTTCACCGTCCATCGTTCACCATTCATCGTTCACCGTCCATCGTTCACCATTCACCGATCACCATTCACCGATCACCATTTACGATCATCATTCATCGTTCACCATCCATCGTTCACCGTTCATCGTTCACCATCCATCGTTCACCATTCATCGTTCACCATCCATCGTTCACCGTTCATCGTTCATCATCCTTCGTTCACCATTCATCGTTCACCGTCCATCGTTCACCATTCACCGATCACCATTCACCATTCACCATTCATTGTTCACCATTCACCGTTAATCGTTCACCGTTCAACGTTTATCAGTCACCATTCACCGTTCTTTGTTCACTAATCACCGTTAATCGTTCGCCCTTCACCGATCACCGGTAATCAATCATCGTTCCCTATTCACAGTTCATTGCTCATCATTTATCGGACACCGTTCACCAATAATTGTTTACCATTCACCGATAATCGTTCACCGTTCACCATTTATCGGTAACCATTCACCGTTAATCGGTCACCATTCATTGTTTACCATTCACCGTTAATCGTTCACCATTCATTGTTTTCCATTCACCGTTAATCGTTCACCGTTTATCGGTCACCGTTCAACGTAAATCGGTCACCATTCACCATTCATTGTTCACCATTCACCGTTAATCGTTCACCATACACCGTTTATCGGTCACTATTCACCGTTAATCGGTCACCGTTCACCACTCATTTTTTACCATTCACCGTTAATCGTTCACCATTCACCGTTTATCGGTCACTATTCACCGTAAATCGGTCACCGTTCACCATTCATTGTTTACCATTCACCGTTAATCGTTCACCGTTCATCGGTCACCATTCACCATTCATTGTTTACCATTCACCGTTAATCGTTCACCGTTCACCGTTTATCGGTCACTATTCACCGTTAATCGGTCACCGTTCACCATTAATTGTTTACCATTCACCGCTCACCGTTTATCGGTCACCATTCACCATTAATCGGTCACCATTCACCATTAATTGTTCACCATTCATCGTTCATTCAGAATTAATTGTTCATATTAATTAAATTATTTTGTTACCTTACAATATCCTGTTTAGTGTTGGTAGACAAACTACATGTTTCGTGGCGACTGCCACATCCTCAAATTTATCCTATTCTCAGATTCGTCATAAATTTAAAACATAAAACACAGAACACACGTAAAAAAACACATTACATTTATTTTGGTACCGTCACGGTGCGTGCACGCCTTTGGTTGGGCCCAAAGTTGTGGTCATGAATTGTGGATATTTATAGGTCTGCACTGTGGATGCGATACTCCCTGGTGTGGATTAACGTCCGCAATAGTGTGTACTACGACTATCCGCAGTACTATCCTGATAATTAGACCAATTTGTTAATACCAGGGCAAAAAATGTGGATCACATTCCCCTATAAACTGTAGGTCCCTTAGTTGCCATTGGCTGTATGTGCTATTAATAAACAGCTGTGTCTAAGGATTATGTCACTTAGCCAATAACGAGACTACAAGATCGCGCCACTCATCGTACACTCATCTCCATTCATACTTGGCTTAAAAAAATACCTACTTTGTATGGTCGCCATTTCAATAAAAGTATAAAGTATTTATATATCTGTAGAGGTCGTTTAAGCCACAAATTGTCATTGTAAATGTGTAAATAATTCCAATACCAACACTGAAAATCTTCTAGTTTTTTGCCTGATTTATTATGTATATACATATTAGTAATTAGTGATGTTTACTATTGGTACTATAGTTTTATTTTAGGGTACTGTTCCGCAGAGAATTTATTATATATCGGATGAAATTTTCATTCGATATCAGTATCGATAAATTATTGAATGTAAAATTTGGTGGATGGTTTTTGACTTTAAACCGAGCAAGTTTTTTTAGTTAGATAAGTATGCCACTGGTATGCAATTAATGGCAATTTATCACTAACAATTTGACAGCAAAACTATGTACTTACATCCAGATATCACACCGCCTGGTTGCGAATGGTTCAATCCATTTGTGCCATGGAAGTAACACTGTGGGTTTTCGTGGTTTTCGTGTCATCTCTGGTAAGATCATGTCTTAATCTACTTATATGTATTAATTGCCATTCTGTTAATTTTTAACGATAGGCTCATAGCTAAAATTAGTTTAGTATGTGTTCATGTTGTTTATATAACAGCAGAAACTCATTTCCCCCAGATAACCCTTATTTTAATTTTACTAATAATGGAAATACAAGTTTGTATGTAGTTTCTTAATACAATTTTATGAGTAATGATCTAAATTAATTAAGCATTAAATTCAGTGAAATCATTTGGCATCGTTCTTTGGACATTGACATATTACAATATACAGTGTGTAAATTAAGTATGGAAACAAATCTGTATTTTTAAAACCGAAATAGATAGAAATATTCTATTTGTGGCAATAATAGTTAACAAAGATTCCGCAATTTTTCACATGAAAAATATTTTTTTACCCCCCTAACAGGGTAGGTGGTAGGGGGTGACTTATTTTTTTCAAATAGCAACCCCTATTGAGTGACCCCTCATTTTGAAGAGTTTGTCAAAAGAAACACAATGACGCAAATCCGAGGTGAATATCTCACTCCTAGCCCAAATGGCGGATATTCCAAAATTTGATTTATTGTACGTGAAAAGCACCAATTTCACAAATAATGGAAAGAAATCTGTATTTTTAAAACCGAAATAGATAGAAATATTCTGTTTGTGGAATTGATTGTTGACATAGGTTCCGCAATTTTTTTAATCAACAATATTTTTTCAACCCCTTTAACAGGGTAGGAGGTGGGAGTGACTTATTTTTTTCAACAACAACCCCTATTGAGTGACCCCTCATTTTGAAGGGTTTGTTAAAAGAAAAAGAATGACGCAAACCCGAGGTAGATATTTCACCCCTAGCCTAAATGGTGGGTAATGAAAAATTTAATTTTTGTAAAAAAAAGCCCATTTTGGAATATCCGCCATGTTAGCTAGGAGTGAGATATTCACCTCGGATTTGCGTCATTGTGTTTCTTTTGACAAACCCTTCAAAATGAGGGGTCACTCAATAGGGGTTGCTATTTGAAAAAAATAAGTCACCCCCTACCACCTACCCTGTTAGGGGGGTAAAAAAATATTTTTCATGTGAAAAATTGCGGAATCTTTGTTAACTATTATTGCCACAAATAGAATATTTCTATCTATTTCGGTTTTAAAAATACAGATTTGTTTCCATACTTAATTTACACACTGTATGTATAATATACCTAGCCTATTTAAGAGTAACAATTAAATAATCTAAATAATATGTATTTTTAAGTTAAAGCCTAATATACCATTGGATGTTTAACAAATGATCCTAAATTGTTGCAGATTCTTCAGAGCTCAGCTTTTAGAAACCTTTTTGGAACTAGTGTCAAGGGCCACGGTAAAACCAATTATCCATTAATCAATATTCTTTTATTTAGCTAGTTATTTGAAACTTAGGTAACAACCTGTAGTATACAATGTTTGTGTGTGTGTGTGTGTTTTTGGAGAAACTTAAAAATCCTAAAAAAAACTTCAGTCTTAAACTTTTGCATTTGACATAATTCGTCTAAAGCATTTAATAGTTTTACCTACAGCAGTTTTTTAAATACCCCTTCAGTTTAGTTTTTAGAATTGAAAAGATTGAAATGAAATATTACTTAATTATCAAGAAACATTTCCCAAATCCAGCGTTAGCTGGTGAAACAGGTGATATTGTCAGACATCTTAAACACCACAAAATTAAACTAAAATCTACATAGCTTAAACTAAAATACATTTACTTTCCATTTAGATAATCGGAAATCGAATAATAGTTTTTCTGTATAAGGTATTGTTTGAAATCATTTATAAATTTTGAAATACTGTTAATTTCTTTTACCTACGACAGTTTTTTAAATTAGCCGTTTCAGTACAGTTCTTAGAATTGATAAGTATCTCATAACAGCATTGTTTACATTCATAACAGCATAGTTTTACTCATAACAACACGGGTAACGGACCAATGAGGTTCAATGATCGAGAGACGAGAAGTAAAATTATAATGATTTGAATTTCAAGTAATCAGCTGTTCAGGCCAATGTAATTGTTGATTGGTGCAATTAGTGTTTGATACAATGTTTTGTTGCATCACTGTCAGTGGCAATGAGAGGTTATAAACGAAAACATAACCTCTCTTAAAAGTTATGAGTAGTGATTTTTAGTATTTAAAACACTTTCGTAGGTAAAGTAGTGTACACAACTCACGTAAATAGTGTTAACGCAATCGTTGCGTAAACTTCTATTAAATTAGTAGGTAGACTGTTGTAAAGCCTTAATCACATGTAATAAGGAGGTATGTTTATATACACATTTTTCATAAACACTGTTGAGCCTCGGAAAACCCCCGCACTAGAGGCGTGTTGAGCCTCGGCAAACCCCCGCACTAGAGGCGTGTTGACCCTCGGCAAACCCCCGCCCTAGAGGCGTGTTGAGCCTAGGCAAACCCCCGCGCTAGAGGCATGTTGACCCTCGGCAAACCCCCGCGCTAGAGGCATGTTGACCCTCGGCAAACCCCCGCACTAGAGGCATGTTAAGACTCGGCAAACCCCCACACTATAGGCATGTTGAGCCTCGGCAAACCCCCGCACTAGAGGCGTGTTGAGCCTCGGCAAACCCCCGCACTAGAGGCGTGTTGAGCCTCGGCAGCCCCCCCTCCTCCCCCCGCACTAGAGGCATGTTAAGACTCGGCAAACCCCCGCACTATAGGCATGTTGAGCCTCGGCAAACCCCCGCACTAGAGGCGTGTTGAGCCTCGGCAGCCCCCAACCCCCCCCCTACCCCCACACTAGAGGCATGTTGAGCCTCGGCAAACCCCCGCACTAGAGGCGTGTTGAGCCTCGGCAGCCCCCAACCCCCCCTTTCCCCCCACACTAGAGGCATGTTGAGCCTCGGCAAACCCCCGCACTAGAGGCGTGTTGAGCCTCGGCAGCCCCCAACCCCCCCCCCCCCCTCCCACAACACTAGAGGCATGTTGAGCCTCGGCAAACCCCCGCACTAGAGGCGTGTTGAGCCTCGGCAGCCCCCAACCCCCCCCCTCCCCCCACACTAGAGGCATGTTGAGCCTCGGCAAACCCCCGCACTATAGGCATGATGAGCCTCGGCAAACTCCCGCACTAGAGGCGTGTTGAGCCTCGGCAGCCCCCAACCCCCCCCCCTACCCCCACACTAGAGGCATGTTGAGCCTCGGCAAACCCCCGCACTAGAGGCGTGTTGAGCCTCGGCAGCCCCCAACCCCCCCCCCCCCCCCACACTAGAGGCATGTTGAGCCTCGGCAAACCCCCGCACTAGAGGCGTGTTGAGCCTCGGCAGCTTTGGCAATGGTGCAGTGGCCTGCCCCAGACAGGTCGTCCTTCCAAAGATTTACAACCTATAAAATGTAGGATGCCTTGAGTGCTTCAGATTTTATAAATATGTCCAAAGGTAGCTGACCAAGAGTGACATATATAGTTTCTGATGGACTGCTCCTGAAGGTACCAGCATGAAGCGTACCAATGTAACGATAAGAATTCAGTATTTCATTTTCCATTGAAACGATTTATTTAATTAGATGTGGTCGATTACACTTTATATTTTATAACAAATTCGAACACTCAAAATTCTAAACAAAAAAAAAGTTTACATGGCCAAGTCTACACCTCCCAGCACAACTACTACTACCACTAAGTGGTCCAGGTTTCTCTGATTTGCCTTAACAATACCAGAAATAGCACAGTTAGATAATGCTGTCATTAACTAGTTCTAATAAAGCCACATATTTTTGTTTCAGTTCTGTTTTGTCCTAAAAAATATGAACTCTTTTATGGTTTATTGCAACACAATACGATCAAACCGGAGGATAGTATGAACGATCTTCTAGCACGTAGAAAAACGTCATTTCAATTTTCGTTGAATGTTAAGTGCGTAAAACAGAACGATGAAGCTACGGTGTTTGTATACGCTCCAGAAGGATACTTGGTTGATAGATTGAAGTTTGAGAGCAAAGAAGATTGTGACAAATTGAAGGACCTCGCAGATATAGTTGGGCAGCCAGAATGGGTTAGGGATGAATACGGATATGAGGAGATAGAATACACCATAATGTACACGTTGGTTGGGGAAGTACCTCGGTGTCTCGCTAGAATCTACAAGCTCATTACATTTCAGTACTACATCAAATTACAAATAGGGAAGCCACAACTGATGGATTGCAAAGAGAAAACTGTGATTGTAAGTTTAAAATGTTACGTCATATGACTAGATTAAGCTAAGCAAGACCATTTAAATCGAATACTTACCTTTACATCTTAGAATCCCCATCATTCGTACAGTTCTCAAAGCATTTATAGATATCCTCTTCGTGGCAAATTCAACCTTTCAGTACCACGACACTCAACCACATTCTTTAAAAAAACATTCACACGAATGCAATACGACTTTTTAATGGCCTCGTTTTCCCATTAAAATTTGAACAAGACCAAGGAAAATTTAGAACATGTGCAAAGTCCATTGTGATAGATAGAGACAAGGTTTGACCTTTGTAAATTTACTGATATTCTATGTTAAACATTGTAAAAGATTGCGTGAAACAACATGCATGAATTAAATTCAATTTTATTTTGTATTTTAAACTTCATATAAAAAAAAATATTTTTTTCTACACATTTTATGAAATATACTATGGACTTTGACCATATGGTCCAAATGTCAGGGATGTCCAGATTATGGTCGCAGGTATATTGTTGGATACATTTTTAGACCACAAGAAGTCTATTTTCCTAGCTTTACCCCAATATTTTTTATTCTGAAATTTAAACTATTGCCAATCATTACCAAATCGTAATTGCATTTTACATTTCAAAATACATCGTATGAGCTGTTAACTCGTGTTTTATACAGACTGTTTATCGTCCTGTAATCCAGCTAGGAGGTCACAATTATGTAGTATGTCATTCAAGTTTTTCATATTTTTTCAGGGGGATGCAGAAATTAACTATGAGAGTAAGTATTTACAAAAAGAATTACAAAAGTTCTAAGTAAACTATGTTTATATAATGTACAACAGTTAATAGGATATCAATGAGATATTTTGTGCGTTATAATTATTTAATACGTTGTATTTTCATGAAAGTATATACAAATACGACTAATAACTATTAAAATATATTTACACTTATACTGTTGACTCACGGGTAGATATATTTACATAAAATATGTTGTTGGAGAAAGAACAAACCTGAAAGATCAAATGTCACACTATACTTGATACAACATAGAGGCCCATCTATGTATTTTAAAGAATTGTATAAAATATAAGTGATGAATGCTTGGAATGAATTGTATATGTATAAGAAAAATAGAAATACGCTAGTTAAAAATAAGAAAATATTGACTTCAGTTGTACTTTTAGAAAAGTCTTACCCAGGACTTCTGGTAGCCAACAGGATATAAGTAGTGACGATATCGATATTATTATCATTCGCATATTGGGTATGATGATGATTGGACTGTCCAATCGAAATCGATCAACACTTACCATCTTTTGTATGTATATACCTCCTGTGATTTAATATTATAAGGGTAAATATACTTAGTGTTTAAGACACATTTTGATTTACTTTTAGTAAATAAAAAAAAAAAAATATTATTTAAAATGTATATTGAAAAATTTTAAACTCCTACTATGGTGACATAAACTTACTGTGTTTTTTTTAGAAGAAGAATTGTTTCCATGGGGTAATTATGAAATCATGGATTTTATCAAAGATGCTGAATTTGTCGGTGAACCTTCCTCTATCACTTTAAAAGCTGACTCAAACATCAAGCTCAAGTGCCAACAATACACCAAGAAAGAAAGAAAAGAGGACGGATCGATACAATCAACCCTCCTTGCAATTGGATACATAACTTATGAGAATTTAATCTTAGAAAGGTTATTTCTAGACTCTTGTCCAGTTGACCACGTTGAAGGGGTGTACATTAACCGTCTACCGAAAACGTTGGACCCCTCGTATGAAAAAGAATTTACACTTGTCTTCAAAACCACAAAAGGACCCTGTTTTAAAATATCCATTAGCTATCGGTTTCAACTGAAATTTCGACCTCTAAAAAAAACAGCTAACATTTACCGATACAACCATCGCGAAGTCAATTGTCCAAATGTTTGGAACAGTGACGCAGCCTTCAACGTGAAACCACCCTGGCGCATAACTAAGTGGTTTAACTGACTGGTTTAACTGACTGGTGGTGACTAGTTTGTACTCCTTGATTTCCCTCTGAATCATGTGAATTAAACGTTTTATTGTCTTATTGGCTTATTCATGACCCTAGAACCATAAATGGATAATTCCTGGTGACAACAAGTTGGTAGGGTGCAGTCTGAATGCACAAGGCCCACACTAGGAATAGACAGCAGTCGATTTCCTCGCCATTTTTCATTTTGCTTGTGTCCAATCTAGGCTAACCCATTTGCACTTTATTGTCTTTTATCATTGACTTTGGACGGTGCAAATGACTACGCCACACTTCAAACTCAATTGTAAAGTCCTAAGATTTAGTGTTTGGATACAATCACGAATATTCTAACAGAATACGGTATGAGTCATAAGAAAAAAAATCGCGTAACTGTCCCGAATCCTACACTAATAACATTAACATATGGTTTAGACGATTCTATTTAAGCAATTTGGAATCAGTAACATAAGTGTATTTTTATGACCCACACTGTTTCTTTTGAGTATTCGTGGTTACACTCTAGCGCCATGATATTCGTAAAACTTGTACTTTGCTTTAAAAATAAAATGGAAATAATAAAAAGTATGGTAAAACAATTTTAGATTAAAATTTTCGCTTAATTATGGAAAACGCTTAAAACAGTGCCACAACAGTAGGCATTAACTTAAGAGTTGTTCTTGAATACCTTTGCTCATGTCCCCTATACGTGTAGAATGAAACAACCTGGTGCACGCTTTTCCCACAGGTTAGGTGCTGTGATGACATCCCTTTAAAATATTCCACAGCTGATTTACGGCCGTGGTGACGTCATTGATTTATTGAGCGGAGCGAGAGAAGCGAGCGAAGCTCTTATACGTCGACTCTTGTGCATTTCGTAATACGCAAACTCCTCCTAGACGGCTGAATCAATCGTTTTCAAATTTTGCATGGTGATAAATACCATATCGGTGAGTGCCAACATCTATATGGCGTTAAAAAAGTATCTCAGGAATCTGCCACACTGGGTCTCAAATTTTCAATGTAAACCTTATGGAAGCAGTACTTGACACATAAACAAAGACATATGATCAGCTGTTGACGTTTGAATGCAGTAGATAAAGAAATACCTGATAGCATGATTCCACAGATATTAGAACAGAAACGGTATGCATCATAAAAATAATCAAATGACGACACTAGCTTGAGTACCGTGACGTAGAGAGTGATGAGTACCTAGTAAAGGTAGTAAGTAAAGGTAGAGTAAGTAGTAAAGGTGAGCAGTCTGGAGTGTGCAAACTGTTTATAACGATTAGATTTAGGTATCTGCATTCCTAAAATTCTATGGGAAGGGAGGAAAAAGGCGAGTTATCCGGAGTGTGGGGTCTTTTTATAACCAATAGATTAAAGTATTTGCAAACCAATAATGCTAAGGGAAGGGAGGAAAACGGGTCCGCAACGTAGGAAGTGGTGAAGGAAGTAGTCAAGGCGAGCTGTCCGGAGTGTATAAACTGTTTATGACGATTAGATAAAGGTATCTGTATTCCTAAAATTTGATAATAGGAAGGGAGGAAAACGGGTCCGCGACGTAGGAAGTGGTGAAGGAAGTAGTCAAGGCGAGCTTTCCGGAGTGTGGAAACTGTTCAACGATCATCTGACCATACATAATAAGACTCTCCTGGGACGAGCGAGAAGGATGCAGCGTGAGGGGAAGATCCACAAGGCCGGCTACACCAATGGGAAAATACTCATTAAACCCAAGGAACACGACGATGCCATCAGGATCACTGCACAGCATGAACTGGACGTCTTCGACAAATAATGTATCTTAGGTATTCGTAGAAACATAAACTAATCATGCATGTAACACATTTTTATTAATCCATTTAATTATATATTATTTATATATTATTTATCTATTTATTCAGTATAATAACACAGTAATTTATATCCCATAACTCTGTTATCCATTACCCATAAAATGCATGATTATTGTTACATGACTCAATACACAAATGAATAATGGACCACTTAATTTATTATTCATTCAATATAATATTTGCTAGATAAATCTACTTCATAAATATGGTACTTAAGCTATTTTGTTTTCATTCAGGAAATATGCACTAGTTCTTATTTATTTAGGTTTGTATTTTTTTATCAATAGTTTTTTTCTTCTATTATTAGTATGTTATTAAATTGCTAGTAATGTATGACAGCATGGTTTTTTTTATTTTAGGGAAATGCTCAATTCTTATTACAGTATTTGTATTTTACTATAGATCTTATAACATTTGCAAGTTAAAGCTAACCTAAATATTTTTTTTAATTTTATTTAAAAGAAATGTTTAATATCTTTATAGGCACTGTTTCATTTATGTATTTATAAAATTTTGTTAGTTAAAGTTAAACAATCATTTACTTATTATGGAGTCACTGTTTTTAATTTTTTATGTTTATGTAAATCAATGGTAAATTAGGCATTCTTTATTTATTTATTTTTTCTCCAATGTCAACAATAGCACAAACAATAGTTATAGGTTGGGACTGGCAGCGGGCACTGTGACAGTTGTCATGCACGCAGATGGTGATAATTACAATTTATTTAATGAAAAACTAAACTGTTTAAACCTCAATTCTACTGAGGAATATTCTAAATTTTACAGGCGTAATGTTGGGGACAGCTCTATTGGTATATTTCACTCAAATATCAGGAGTTACAAGAAAAACTTTGATGAAATGTGTTTATATCTTAATAATTTTATTACGGGAATTGACATAATTGTTTTCACAGAATGCTGGCTGTCTGGAGGGGAGGGGGTGGCTACCTTGGAGGGCTTTGACCTTTATCACACTTCCACTTATCGCAATCAGAACGATGGGGTTATTGTTTACGTAAACAAACATTTATCTGCTACGGCTACTGAAATTACCATTGGGGACGTTTACGGCATTTCATTACACTTTTCTCTTTCCAACAAACATTTCAACCTATTAGCAATATACAAAACTTTTGATTGTAATGTTGAAATGTTCTTACATGACCTAGAAGTTTACTTATTTAATATCAATAAAGATCACATGGTTATTTATCTTGGAGACGCTAACATTGACATACTAAACATGAATGTTCTCACACATAGGTACTTAAACATTTTAACTGGATCGGGATTTACACAATGCATTGACAAACCTACACGAGTGACTCAAAACACAGCAACTTGCCTTGACCACATATTTATCAAATACAAAGACTTGGAGAGTGTAAAGTCGGCTGTGTTACAGACTAATGTTACCGACCACTACAGCACCGGGATCACTATCACATTGGGGACACCGAACTGTCACTATGACCCACCGCCACGCACACACCTAGACCACGCACTACTCACACACTTCCTCACTCATTCCAACTGGGATCCCATAACCTCTTGTCATGACAATGTTGATTTCTGTTCCGAACATTTTACCAGAATCATCTCTAATTCTGTTTCTGCGGCTAGTAAATTGGCTTATAACAAGAAATCACGTTTCAAAAAGTTAAAACCGTGGATAACGTCAGACCTAATACATCAAATAAGAGTAAGAGACAAATTAAGTAAGCAAGTCAAAAAGCAGCCTTTTAATAACGAACTTATTACTCGATACCGAGAAATTAAAAATAGTTTAAGTGTTTCATTGAAGCTGACAAAAAGAAACTATTATAGAAATAAACTACACTTGACCGGCAACAACCCTAAAATGTTTTGGGGCATAATCAATGAAATATCTGGTAGAAAATGTAAAAAAGATTCCTTTCCTATTGATAAGTTTGTTCCAGCGGACCAGATATCTCCAGCACAATGTCTAAGAGTTGCCAATGATTTCAACAATTTTTTCTCCTCTGTAGGCTCTAATTTAGCACTCTCCATCGATTCAAGTGGGGACCCAGTTGTAAATGACAATGACTTTGCCCATGATTGTACATTTACACTTCACACAATCACTGAACCCGAACTGCAACAATACATTTACAGCCTACGCGGTGGGTCAGCACCTGGCTGCGATGGTATCTCAGCCGAAGTCCTGAAAGCCAATTTCCATTTGTTTAAACAACCACTCTTACATATAGTAAATTTAAGCATTTCATCAGGTACATTTCCGGAATGTTTCAAACTTGCTAAAGTTTTTCCTCTTTATAAATCCAATGAGTTTGCCGATATGAATAATTACAGACCAATATCTCTCTTGAGTGTATTTGCTAAGTTAATTGAGAGAATAGTAAAAGATCAATTAGTTATATTTCTTCAAACAAACAACATTTTGAGTGATTGTCAGTATGGGTTTCGCTTGGACAAAAACATTTCAGATGCACTTTTTGACATTAATAGGGACTTAAATTCGGCAATTTCAGATAATGAACATCCAATATTAATATTTTTAGATCTTAAAAAGGCATTTGATTCAGTTGATCGATCTAAGCTTTTTTCCAAATTAGAAGCAGTTGGCGTAAGGGGTAACGCACTTCAATGGTTTAAAAGTTATCTGTCTCAAAGATCTCAACTTGTATCAATACTTAACACCAACAGTAATATTGAACACGTTAACTATGGTGTAGTTCAAGGCAGTACACTTGGACCTGTTTTATTTTTAATATATATAAATAATATTTCAAAACTTAATATTTTTGGTAAGCTTTTCTTATTTGCGGATGACACTTTAATTTTGAACAGCGGAAAAACTTGGCCTGAGGCTCGCAACAAAGCTTTGCACAACCTAATGGAAACCAAGTTATGGTTAAACCAGAATATACTCTCTTTAAATTCATCAAAAACTAAGTTTATGCCAATTTCTTTAAGTTTAAAATCTGATTATAATCTAGAAAATCTCGTCATTCACACCTGTGGTGATTACCTCGACGCCAACTGTACATGCGAATCTATTGAAAAAGTAGATTCATTCAAATATTTAGGAGTGGTCTTTGATTACCGTCTTAAGTGGTCTAGTCATATTCAATATTTAAACAGTAAAATTAGAAAATATATCTATGCTATCGGTCAGCTGAATCAGATTCTAAATGAAA